AAAAAAATTATTTTTAAGAAAAATGCAAAATTTTAACTTTTTAATTTTTTTTTACTTTACTAAAATTTTTTTTCAAAATTTTTATTATGATTAACATTAAATTAATACTACTTTATTATTCAAATTTAAATTTATAATTGATATTGTTTAATTTTATTTAAAATTATAAACTGGAATTTTAAATTCTGACTAAATTATAATTTTTGGTTAAAACAGGATTCTGCTTACTTATATAAAGATTACTGTAAAAAATTGGCCCTTTACTAATATTTTTACCTTACTTTTTTCATAAATTCTATTTATAGTTAATTAGCTAAAAAGGAAAAAATCATAACAATGTAATATAAAATTTTTTATAATAAAATCTGCAAATAATTTTATATATGATAATTTTTATCTTAAGCCTGAGGGTGCCCTATCTTATAAGTAAGTGAAATTCTGTTAGAACCTTTAATAAAATTAAGTAGTAATAATTATCAGTAATAATATTATTACTATAATGCTAAAAGTTTATATGTGATTTTATTTTAATTTTTTAAGCTGATTCTATATCATGTGATCCAGAATTCAGTTAATAATTATATAAAGTATTAATAAAATGTGATTTTTGAAAATTTTTTATTACAAAAAAGATAAAACATAAGAAAAAGTAAATTTTAGCAATAAAATCAACAACTATTATTTTATAAAAGTCATACATTGATAAAAAATTTTTTAAAAATATTACATTTGATTTATATTATAATAATTTAAGCTGGTATTATCACAATAATACATGAAGTTAACCCAAATTATCATAAGTTCTAACTAACATACTTTGTTTCAAATTATATGAAATCATACAATTTCAAATGTTTATAACTTTTTATATAAATCTTTTTTTAAAAATTTGATCAGTAATTTAATAGAGTTTACTTTAAAAAAATAAAATTACCATATATCGCAGGCTATAGTAATCCCTATATATAGTATCCTTTTTGAAAATTTCATAGAATTGTATAGTACTTAGAAGAGTATTTTACATTTATCTTGTGGTCCAGTGATCAGATTTATCGCCATTTTCAAAATGATGTATGCAGTTAAATTTGAATAAAAAAAAAGAAAACTGTAAACTGGACGAAAATTGGATGTAATATAAACAAAAAATAGATGAAAACTGCAAATATTGGTATTCAAATATATAATCACAAATAAACTGCATACACCATTTTGAAAACGATGATAAACTATCTTTTTTTGTTTGGTAGCTCTTATTGAGCTCTTTAAAATAAAAAAAAAACCACTTAAATTATTCACAAAAAATGAAATTTTTAAGTTTTATTTAGTACCTGAGTGTACAGATACTCAGAATATTATGGCCTGAAATATACAGTACCAGTTTATTTTTTTTTAATTGTATTTTTTTAAGATGTAATTCATCTAAAAATTACAGAAAATTACTATATAAATTCAAAAAAAAAATTAAAACCAAAAAAAGGCATTAGATTTTAATAACCCTTTTTCAAGTTTATAGTTTTTGATGCATTTTTTAAAACAAAAAAAAAGATATTAAAAATTGGACTGGTATATTATAATATGAGTATCCTTAACTTACACATCATATGTATGATATTAACGTACATACTGGCCAGAAGTTAAGTTTAACATTATTATGTGTATAACTCCCAATTTTGGGCTAGTGCATATGTTAATATCATATACATGATGTGTACGTTAAGGAACCTCTTATAATATAATTACAAAAAATATTTTTTTTCAGGTAAATCTTCTGAAATTCTAGATAAATTTTCTGCTACCCTAATTAAAAGGTTGAGAATTTTGCCACTTTAAAAATTAACTATATCTGTAAATTTTACTATTAATTGCATAAAAAAAACACTTCTAAATAGTGTTTTGCACTTTAAACATTAAAATAGTTATAACTTTTATTATCAAAAATCTGATAATTTTATTTTTTTTATTAATTTTTAAGGTGGTCCAATACTTTTGGCAGTTGTACAATGTAAATTCCTTTTATAATAGTAAATATGCAATTTTATTAGTTTAGTTTTTACAATTATATAGTATTTATATAATAATTATTGCTAATTCTATGCAAAATATTAAATTTCATCCATTATTAATCTTAGATAAATTAGTAATTAATTAAAATGCCTTTACTTGTAATTACTGATTATATGTTAATTTTTGTTTAATAAGTTCATTAACAAATATCAGGGTTTAATATTATTGCAAAATTTCAACAGAATTTAAATGAAGTTTATACAATTTCAGAAATCTTAACAAATAATCTTAGTTTTTTTTAAAGAAAATTTTATAGCATTAATTTGAAATATCTTAATATATAGAAGTACGATTATGCAATTCTATGTTGCTAATGCTTTTTGTGAAACAAAATCTAAAAAAAAAGACTTTAAACACGTGTTATGACCGACCTAAAGATTATAAAAACGAAGGACGTGATATCAAATCTTATTATGGTCGCACGCGTATCAAAATTTCCCTAAGATTCATTTAAAGAATTCTTGAAAGACATACGAAGAAAAGTCTCGGGAATACTTATAATGGTTATATAGTAAAAATATGATAATGGTTAGTGAAAAATTTCATTGTTGTTTTTTCGGAGATATTTATAAAGTTATCAAGATGAATACACATGAACATGGGATTAGTGATAAACATGCGTGCGGGGAGGGGAGGGATAGATAAAGTTAGAATTTGAAAATTGATTGGCAATTAAAAAGCTGACGATATAATTTTTAAAGATCACTAATTACATGTGTTAAATGTTCCATTCGAGCATATTGCAAATAAAAAAGAATCCATGTTTAGGATATTTCAGATAAGTACCCGCTTTATAGACCTAAATACATTCCAGGTTTAGATAAATTATACATTTGATCGTGTAACATAATAACGAAAGATATATTCAACGTCACCTCAATAAAGGAAGTCTTTTCTAAATCGAAAAGTAGAAAGCTCTCATTATTTATCACGATATACAATATGCAGGGACGATCATCCTCTCTTTTATCCAGAGTAGGGTTCGCTATTGTTAAAAGTAATTTTTGTCAGCTTGAATTGCGTTCTTTTTATTAACTTTAAATTTCCAATATTTTTAATTGTTTTTCTATCTTTCTTTATCGTGCATGTTTTTTTTTTCATCTTATTTTTTATCTTAACTTTTTTTCCTTATTATTTTTATTTTTATCTTATCTTTTATTCTAATCCTTCGTAATTATGTATAATGATGATAAGATAAAAACAATGTTTACAATGTTTCTTTTTTTCTTCTGTTATTTAACTAAAACGGAAACAAACAAAAATGTGAGTCAACATTTCTTCGAAATTTATATGCGTTATTTTTAAAAAAAAGCAGGTTTTTACAATTGATTATATTATATTGTATTTATTGTATTTGTAATTATTATAAATTAATTATTTAATATATTTAAAATACAGTGAACTATATTAAATATACAAGTAAATATACAATAAATATTTAAATATACAATAAATATCTAAATATACAATAAATGACTAAATATACAGTGAATATCTAATTATACAGTGAATATTTATATGTAGTTATGTAGTTGAATATTTTATATGCAGTAGATTTAATATACAAGTGAATATTTAATATTTAATTGATTTATTTCAATTGTCATAGTAATGTAATATATTTATAAAATAAGTAAAATGAATAAAGTAAATAATTTAATATGATATAATATATTACTTATTATATAGTTAGTAGTAGATATTATTCATATTATTATATTGTACATTATAATATATTATACTGTATAAATTATTTAAATCAGAACCTTATTTTATTATATATAATTGATTTTATTATTAACGATTAAATGTATAAATATATAAATATATAGTACTTTATATTACAATATAATTTTATAATATTCACTTATAAATAAATAAGTAGACATATATTTTTATTTAGAAAATTTAATAAAGTGAAAACCTCAAGAACTTTATGCATGTTAATAGATTTTTTTGAAGGATACGAAAACATATTTGATTTATATGATTGAAAAATCAAATTTTAGTGGATAACGTGTTAAAAAAAAAAATTTTCCTTCCTCCACGAAAGATGTTTTCATTGGTTATAAGTCTGGTAGGTTACACGAATTTTAAAACGGGTTGACAAATGACATAGTCTCTTAACTCTCTATGTCATGTGATGTCCTATATCCTTTACCGTTCAGTCCGTTCACCCTCTCTACAACGAATTTTTATATAGTGAATAACTTGCTATAATGAAGAAAAGTTCAGGTACAGATTTTTTTTATGATAATAAAATGACCCTCAGTATAGGGAATTTCTCATTATAACGAATTTTAATCTCCAGCCCATGGGATTCTCTCCTACTTTTATCAACGGATGATTCGAAACTCCCTATGGCCCAATCCCGTATGTCGTACAGTGAGTGCCACATTATTTTTTTTGAATTTAATGATGCAATATCGATAAAAAAGGGAATGGAGTTTCTTGGCAGAAAAGATAAAATTGAAATTATAAGTTCGAAAAAAAATATAAATTGGAACGAATTCTTCACCATCTTCAATTCTAGTAAATATTTAATATTCAACAAACTACACATTGATTCAACAAAAAAAAGGATGCAAAGTTTTTAAATTGTTTACAAAAAATTTTACTTGTTTTTTTATTTTTTTTATTATTAATAAATTAACTACTACTATATAAACGTATATTGGAAGGTTTGGAAGGTTAATTGAATTTTTTTTTTTTTTTTCGAATTATTTGAAATATTGCATATTTTGGAAATCGTAAAAAATATCTATATATATGCCATATTGTTTATAACGAAATCTATATAACATAAATCGCATAGACCATAGAGATCTTAAAAAGAGAACAAAATAAACTGAAAAATAAATAAAATATAACTAAAATAAAGGAAAGTGTATTTATAAATACAGAACTAAAAAACATAATATTAAAAAAAAAAAAAAAAAAAAAAAAAAAAAAATTAAAGATAATAAATAGTGCCAACTGTGCCATCATCTTGCCTACTATTATCTAACCCCTCGAAAATTGATGGATTTATACCAACGTCAGAACTTCCATAGTAAAACGAATCAAATTCCCATGTAGGGGTAGAGGTAAGTGGCGGTTGCTGAAATATAAATAAATCTTGCATATGTGGCTGTCGTGTTAAAGCATTTTCTGTATAATTTGTTGACGTTACCGTTTGTAATAATTGAGGAATGAGCTCATCGCTTAATGCTTGAGGAATTTGCTCACAGTAATTTTCCGAAGAGTAACAATCATTATCATAAAAGTAAAGACTGTTATCGACTTGGGAAGGGTTAAACCAATTTCTATTTTCTTGTTCTTGTAAAATTGTTGAAGTAGGAACACTTTTCTGTTCTTCCGAAACGTGTTGAACAACAGCTCTAGATTCAGGTGAAGCTTTTCTTTTCTTTTTGCTCTTATTTTGTGTTATTAAACCAGCATCGTAGACAATGAAATCTTCTTCTGCAGTTTTTCTTTTTCGTCTTTCATAAGTGTAATTTGGGTATTTCTCGCGATGTCTCCTCTTAAGTTCTTCAGCGATAAGAGAATAACTCCTTTTTTCATTTTTACTTGCACCATTCCAGATAAATGACGCTGCCGTTGAAATAACCCTACCATCATCAGATGTTTTATGCAATTTTGCAACGTGAGCCAGTTGGCGCCTAAATACAATGAAACTGTTCATTTCTCGTGGAACTGTTCCTTTCTCTGGCATTTGTAATTCATCAGCCGAGCGAGGGCAAGGAAGCAAATTCTTTTTGTCTAACTTTTTTATGAATTCAACAATATTGGGAGGCGGTGGGTTTCCATTTTTGTCTTTCAATGACCATTGTTCTGATAATTGAGATAAACTCATTTTTATATAAAGCGTTCGTTTATATTTATGTTTAGAAGAGAGTATGAAAGAGATGAAAGCAATGAAAGCGATGAAAGGAAATAATTCTTTTTATATAAAAGAGAATTTCAGTATGATTCTTGTTAGATTCTTTTGCAAATCAAGTAATGAAAAAATGGGTGAGGAGAAAATTTGTGATCGAAATATTCGTGTCTTTTTATAAAAAAAAAATTTGATTAATCCCTCGTTTTAAAGTTATTTTATATGTATGTATGTATATATATATATACACATATATAAATGAGGTAAATAAACGATATATTTTAAAATAATTATCTAATATTTTTAACAATGGATAAATAAAAAAATCTAAAATTATACAATTTTTTTTTTTTTTTACTTACTCAATTGTGCAACTAGCGTCAATAATATATATATACAAATATAGTAGTATATAAAAATGTATATATATGTATATATAAAATTATATTACTTTTATTTCAATATTTCAATTTTATGTGATAATACGTTATATGCGAGATAAGAAATTCGTTAACCAAAAAATAATCTCTCGCTTTGTTAAAACTTCTACTTTAATCGACCGCCGTGGGCTGATGAAAATTTGCTACTAAATTATCTGCGTGTCATTAAATGTGTAAAATAATTATCAAATTATTTAGTGTAATATATTGAAAATATATTAAATATATTGAATGATCCTTCTATAAATAACAGATAATATAACAGATAATATATGAAATATATGTGAAAAAAAATTATCAGATATATTTAAAAAACAGATAAATAATATTACAACAGATATTTTTAATATTGTACTAACCTTATTTTGGTAATCGTTGAATGAGTAGCTGCGGTAATCCTTTTTTTTTTTGTGAAATTCAACTGATAATCCTCCCACATAAGGACAAAAAAAAAAAAAAAAAAA